GGGCTGGGCTTTCACCATGATGGCGTACTGGGTCCAGGGCTTCAGAGGCATGATGAGGAGACCCGGCTCGCTCTGGCCTTTGCCCTCGGAGCCGCGTTCAGGAGGCTCCACGTCTGCGATCGCCCAGCTGTTAGAGCCACAGGCATCCTGCCCGTCATATTCAGTCACGTTCTTATAAGGACTGAACAGGAAGAGACAATGTTACACAGTACTTCAATGCTTTCATAGATGATCTCATTCACACATGTAGGTTTTTAACTGTTTTAACTTATTTAAATGTTACAGCAGATTAGCAATAAATTAAAAATCTGATAAAAATGAAAACAATTAATTAATTTATATACTATACAGACATATATACACATTTATACACACACACACACACACACATATATATATATATATATATATATATACACATATACATGAGAAGTGTTAGAAATGATCAAATTCAACATTTTATGTAATTTTATTAATTACATTTATTATGTTTATTAATTAATTGTTCAGGTTGTAAATGACATTCTTTCAATGTTTGAAACAATTATTATAATATATATTTGATAGTTTTACTAACCAATTATAATTATGATCAAAACACAGTGTTTTAATTATTTCAAGTTTAACATAATTGCAAAAATATCTAGGATATGGAACAAGTTGGACTTGAACTAATTCTAATTAAATATAATTAGTGCTGTCAAACGATTAATCACGATTAATCGCATACAAAATAAAAGTTTTTATTTACCTAATATATGTGTGTGTACTGTGTATATTTATTATGTATATATAAAGACATACACATACAGCATATGTTTTGAAAATATTGACATGTATATATATATATATATATATATATTCATATAATTTATATTATATACATATAACATATTTTTCTTAAATATATACATGCATATGTGTGTATTTATATATACATAATAAATATACACAGTACACACACATATACCATGTAAACAAAAACTTTTATTTTGGATGCGATTAATCGTGATTAATCGTTTGACAGCACTAATATAAATAAAATATGACTATAGAAAATATAGAAAAAATAAAAGGTAATTATAACTAATAATTAAACTAGTAATTAAAAATGTATAATAATAATAATAATAATAATGGTTGTAACAGAATTGTGATGCCTGTGATTTTTTTATTTTCTTTATCTAAAGATTTGAGATTCATCTCCCATAGAATAATAAAGTTTTATAAACGAAAAAAAAAAAACTTTAATTTCAGGTAAGTACAGAACTGCAAACGTATTTGCTTTTTCAAAGTCTTCTTTTAACAATCCATTACCAACCTTCCGCTGTTTCTCTTTCTGTTGAGTTCTCTGTGATGTTATTGTCCTCTGCTTTGGGATAAAACCCATAGGTATGCTGTGACTCATCCGCTCCTACTCAAACCTCCTGCAATCTCAATCCAAACAGAGCACGCAAAGGGGCTCAACAGCACGCATCTGTCAAACGGCCTGTGCCAAATCATAGTATGCTCGCTATGTGCACATACCTCCCTCCCAACCATAATTGACGAAATATACTAATGAGGAATCATTTGGAAAAGATATAAAAATATCAGCGTACACAGAGAAGCAGAAATTGGTTTTGAAGGCGAGCAGGAGTAAATACGAGCCATCTTCCCAATCTCCCCACCCCCTTTTTCTCATTCTCTGATATGTAAATGTTTGCCAATAACAGTTTATTTTGGGTGTAGAGTCTCGTGAATTATAGATGACCATATGGGCTTGAATGGCTGACACTGCCTGCTGAAACACTGAAGGGATGAGCGAGACCGGACAGATGTCTCTAATTGAAACGGCTTTCCTCATCTCCCATAAATTGTCAAAGTTAATCAAGGGATGCATGGCCAATTTTGTTTGTGGGTTAATTTTTTTCTTGGCTCAGTTTGTAAGACATCGCTCCAATTTAGGGTGGTTAAACATGCATTCACATAATGAAATGCTTCACAAAACAACGTCCTCCTCTGGCTGGTCGACTTGAGACTTTTCAGTCACTTAAAAACCCATTATCCAAGTCCAAATGCAATGCATTTGGTTATATTAAATGTAGTCACAAGTTAAAGCTATATATTTTTATATATATTTTTGAGAGTTTTTGCACTGCTCTTCTAGTCAACATAAGAATGTTTAGGTGCCTTTAAGCAGTCATCTAACAATTACAGGAATGTTGTGCTAAATGCTACAAATTACTATAGGTTAAAGTCACAGTTACAAGCAAAGCAACACCCTAGGGACCTGGTGTTAAATAAAGCAGACATCTCCTTTATCTCCATTTTTCACTATTTTTTCACAAAAATTATCCTTTGTACTGATGAACAGTGTTGGGCAAGTTACTCTGAAAATGTAATCAAATTACTGATTACTGATTACTCCTTTTAAAAGTAATCACATTACTATTCTGATTACTTTATTTCAAAAGTAATTCGTAATTAGTTACATTACTAGTTACGTTACTTTTTTCTCCATGAAATTTATGAAATCCCAGCATACACGCTCCCGATAAATAGTTGTTACTAAAGCATCAACATTCACAGAACACTGTTATTTTTAACTAAGCAAGCGGCTGCTGCGTGCATGGTTTGGCATGTCAGAATACCAGCAAAGAGCGCTGCATTTATAATCTCTAAAATACATCTCAGTCCATCGCAATCTCACAAATCTCTGTTATAACACAATAAATATATGCATAATGAATCTTTCATAATGTCTACAATTCGTGTGTTATAATGAGAGGATTCGTGAGCACGCA